CAATCAGATTCTGTTCAAGCTTATGGAGACACTGAGATTTAAACAAGACCCTGAATAAAGTGTGTTTTAGTTTAGTCATCAAGAACGACAAGAACTTTTGCTTGGAGCATGACATTTTCTAGACATATCAAGGTTACAAGTGAGTCTGTATTGGAATAAAGGAGGAGATTAGCTAATGAGTGGAGGGAATGTGAAAGGAGTAAGGCTCTAGGGCAATGGAGGGGTGTTGGTCATGTGAGGCCTTACCTAGTCTATGTCCTGCAGTGTGGACAGCCTGCCCCTGCTTTATCAAGGTATATTTAAGGTATACCATGTGCCTCCAGACTAATAATTTGGGTTTAATATTATTGCCCAGAGGACCAGCTCACTTTTGTCTTTAGAGAGTACTTTTCTGAAACTCATTAGCATTGTCTATACTTAGAACATTGCTTCAGCCAGGTTTAATCACATTCATTCGTAGGAACCCATTCATTCTTTGTTATTTCTATAGTATTTCTGCTCTACCTATTCCATTACACTTACATTGGCCACAAATGATAGTAGCTGGCTATACAAATGCATAATATGGACTCAAAAGATGCTTGTTGAATGAATGCATATGTGCATGAGTGGACTAGATGAATGAATGAAGACATAACATAGATGGATACTTCCACCTGTAAATAAATAGTATATAGATAGAAGTTTTCTTAACCCTGTTAAGTTGAATATCTAGAATATTATTTGTTATTGATTAAATATTGGTTAATTTAAGTACAATAATATTCCATCAAAATGAAATAAATCAGAAAAATTTTGGATCTATACCTGCAGAGACATTCTCTGGCTCTGTGAGGAGTGGATGTTTCCTAAACATACCTTGAGCAGTCACCAGTTAAACAGAAGTATATAAACCTAGTCTCAAAAATTGCCTTTCACTTTTCAACGGATACGTTTATGTCCACAGGATCGCTAGTGATTTCATTTTCTTGGAACAATCTTCAGTCTCAAATGTCAACTACATATTTATTCTCTGTTAGACTTACCTTCTTTGTGGTGGTAGTTAGCTGCCACAGATCTGTAATTAAGACTGTGGCATTGGGCTGGCACCATGGCTCACTTGGTTAATCCTCTGCCTGTGGCATCCTATATGAGCACCGGATTCTGTCCCGGTTGCCCCTCTTCCAGTCCAGCTCTCTGCTGTGGCCTGGGAGGGCAGCGGAGGATGGCCCAAGTGCTTGGGCCCTGCACCCACATGGGAGACCAGGAGGAAGCACCTGGCTCCTGGCTTTGGATTGGCACAGCTCCAGCCGTAGTGGCCATTTGGGGGGTGAAGCAATGGAAGGAAGACCTTTCTCTCTCTCTCTCTCTCTCTCACTGTCTATAACTTTGCCTGTCAAAAAAAAAAAAAAAAAAGTTTAAGACTGTGACATTTACTATTGTCCCAGTGGATGTAAATCAAGGTGCTGGATTCGTTTTCAGCCTTTTCTTTCCAGAGTTTGGAATGCCCACTATATTATTATATAAATGTAGTAGATTGAACCTAGTACATGGCTATAAAACTTTTGTAAAAAAATTTAAAAGTGCACTATATTCATATATCCAATAAAGTAACAGTTTTGGAAAACATGCACTTATGGATATTTTAAATTTCCCAGGAAAAAGCTGGAGACACTTTGTTTATTCCTTGGTCATCATTTGCCTAACAAACAAATTCTTTTAGATGAAGTAAACAAATACATACATGGTTTGGTAGGGTGCCAAAGCATCAATAAAGAATAACTGCCTGCTCCACAAATATGTACGATTAAAATCATATATAAATAAATATTTTATTTTTTTTAACTTTTATTTAATGAATATAAATTTCCAAAGTACAGCTTATGGATTAAAATGGCTTCCCCCCCATAACGTCCCTCCCACCCGCAACCCTCCCCTTTCCCACTCCCTCTCCCCTTCCATTCACATCAAGACTCATTTTCGATTCTCTTTATATACAGAAGATCAGTTTAGCATACATTAAGTAAAGATTTCAACAGTTTGCTCCCACACAGAAACACAAAGTGAAAAATACTGTTTAAGTACTAGTTACAGCATTAAATCTCAATGTACAGCACACTAAGGACAAAGATCCTACATGAGGAGTAAGTGTACAGTGACTCCTGTTGTTGACTTAACAAATTGACACTCTTGTTTATGGCATCAGTAATCACCCTAGGCTCTTGTCATGAGCTGCCAAGGCTATGGAAGCTCCCTGAGTTCACTGACTCTGATCATATTTAGACAAGGCCATGGTCAAAGTGGACGTTCTCTCCTCCCTTCAGAGAAAGGTACCTCCTTCTTTGATGACCCATTCTTTCCACTGGGATCTCACTCGCAGAGATCTTTTATTTAGGTTTTTTTTTTTTTTCCCCCCCAGAGTGTCTTGGCTTTCCATGCCTGAAATACTCTCATGGGCTTTTCAGCTGGATCCGCATGCCTTAAGGGCTGATTCTGAGGCCAGAGTGCTGTTTAGGACATCTGCCATTCTATGGGTCTGCTGTGTATCTCACTTCCCATGTTGGATCATTTTCTCCCTTTTTTAATTCTATCAGCTAGTATTTGCAGACACTAGTCTTGTTTATGTGATCCCTCTGGTTCTTAGTCCTATCATTATGATCAATTGTGAATAGAAATTGATCACTGGGACTAGTGAGATGGCATTGGTACATGCCACCTTGATGGGATTGAATTCTAATCCCCTGGTATGTTTCTAACTCCACCGTTTGAGGCAAGTCAGCTTGAGCATGTCCCGAATTGCACATCTCTTCCCTCTCTTATTCCCACTCTTATATTTAACAGCAATCACTTTTCAGTTAAGTTTCAGCACTTAAGAAGAATTGTGTATTGATTACAGTATTCAACCAAAAGTATTAAGTAGAACAAACAAACAAAAATACTAAGATGTAATACTTTATCCATTTTAGTATCTTTTTTTGTTCTAGTACCATTGGTTGAACTCTGTAATTAACACACAATTATTCTTAGGTGTTTAAATTTTAACTGAAAAGTGATCCCCGTTAGGAATTTTGAAAACATTGTGCTGAGTGAAATAAGCCAATCCCAAAGGGACAAATACCATTTGTTCTCCCTGATAGGTGACAACTAACTGAGCACCAAAAAGGAAACCTGTTAAAGTGAAATGAACACTATGAGAAACGGTGACTTGATCAGCCCTCACCCTGACTGTTGATGAGCAACTTAATATGTTACCCCTCTTAGTATTTTTGGTTTTTTGTTCTAAATAAATATTTTAAATAACTAAAAATAATTTAAAAAAGCTCTTGTAAGCAAAAATCATTTAAAATGGAAGGAGAAAATCAAAACAAAGCACATTTCTAATGTGATTGTTGAAGAATTACTTCTTACTGTTAGAAGGAGTTGGATAGAGGTAAGGGGCAGTTCAAACAAATAGTTTAAAAAACTAGTTAGAGTTATGTGTGTTGCAGTGAAACAATAGCCAATAAAATGCTTAACTAAAAGAAAAAAAGAATAATTACCCACTTTGGTAGGAAATTAGATAGCACTTATTTAAATTGCCCTATCAATTTAAATCCATTTTCCATTTATTTTGACAACTATTTAACAAAATCATTGCATTTCAAGTATAATTTCAGAGGTGTAACTTTTTAATTTAATTTCATCATTTTCCCATTAACTAATTCATTATGCTGTCCTAATAGCAGGTAGCCCTGCCCACTATTGACTCAATAGAAGCATAGTAAAATGGAGTATTTTCAAAAGTGTTTTTCATCATTGTTGTATAAAGTGACACAAGTTTTTATAGTAGTTTTCTTAAGTCAAATAATTTTGAGAAATTCTCTGTCTTTAGTAACTAAGCCTTTGATTGATACCTACCTATTTGAGTAATTTACATGTTAATTATCATTATAATTTTAAAATGCAAAAAATATGTTATGAGTATTATAATAAATGTGTATTCAATCATATTCTGAAAGAGAAATTTTTGTGTTTATATCTTTCAAGATCCCATCAATGATTCCTTTGAAATTCCCTCATACTAATCTTTTAGAGTGATTCTATTCTGGGGCAAACATTTGGCATAGCAATTAAGATACTGGCTGAGATGCCTGTGTCCCATACAGGAGTTACTGAGTTCAGGCTGTGCTCCTGACTTGAATGACAGGAGGTAGCAGTGATGTCTCCCTGCCCCTCATGTGGGGGGCCTAGACTGAGTACCTGGTTTTGGCTTTGGCCCCACTCAGATACAGCTGTGAGCATTTAGGTAGTGAATAAGCAGACGGGATATCTCTCTGTCTGTCTCTTTCTCTTTCTCTTCCCATTTCTCTCTCTCTCTCTCGTTCTCTCTGCTTCTCAAATTTAAAGTAAAATGAAAGTATATAATCTATGTTTTTTACTTGATAAGCTGTGCACAGGGAGGAATCACATTTGTGTGTGTCATTAGCCTCACTATCAGTTAATAACAGTAAGTTCTAGAAAACAAGAAAACATAAAATCATTACATAAATATCCAATGTCTCTTTCTAGTGACTTTTGTCTCAGAATTTGTGTAACATTCTAGAAGCTGTATTTTTCATCATGAATTGTCAAGAAGATCCAGGTCCTGGCCCAAATGATTGTGATTCTCTTTCTTGTATGTTTGAGCAACAGCAATGAACATGAGGGCAAAGACTCAATATGAAGCAGAATGGTGTCTGTATTTTCCTGACTTACCTAGGATCTCTCCACATCCTTTAATCCCTATTCTGGCTAGTAACCTGAGGAACAGGTATTACATGTACAGTCTGGAAATTTAATGTTCACATGGAGTGACTTCAAGATCTTTATCTCCCTAACAATAATCAACAAGCCCTCAAATAGTTAAACAGAAATTAATTGGAATAGAATCCTTACTGTTATTTTTTGCTGTTATAGTGAATTAAGAATCTTTTTTAAACTGTTAAAGTATGGGTAACTGCTTTAAAAAATCAGTCTGCCATTTTGTTTGTTTTTTCCTATAGGTTTAGGCTTCTCTATTGCAGGAGGTGTGGGGAACCAACACATACCTGGAGACAACAGCATTTATGTAACTAAAATTATAGATGGAGGAGCTGCACAAAAAGATGGAAGGTTGCAAGTAGGAGACAGACTACTAATGGTGAGTGTGACTCCCGAAAAACTGACTCTGTGTGTGTGTGTGTGTGTGTGTGTGTATATATATATACTCTTGTTTCCCACTGTGTGACTTAGTGTACCCAGGCTGCCATAACAAAATAGCATAGACTGGCTGGCTTAAACAACAGAAATTTATTTTCTTGGCAAATAGGAAGTCCTACATATAACCAATTAGTTTCTGTTCAGGGCTCTCTCCTGTCATACAAATGACCACCTTCTTGTTACATCCTCATACAGCCTTTCCTATGTGCTCTGGTGAGAGAGAGAAAGATAGTTATCTCTTCTTATGGATCCACCACTCTTTCTGGGTTAGGACGCCATTATTATCTCACTTAACTTTAACTTCCTAAGGACTCTAACTACAGTCACTTTGAGGGTGAGAGGCATAACATTTGAATGGAAGGGGCCACAATTCAGTTCACAGAAACAGAAAAGAAGGGAAAGCAGATTTCAAGGTAAGAGAGTTCAAAAGTACATGAAAAATTATATGTGATTTATGGATAATTTTAAAATAGAAATCTATAATCCCACCAGCTTTCTTAGATACACAAGGCACAGAGAGTATATCTTGTTTTTCTGATGTAATTCATCTTCTATCTGCAATAGAATCTGCTATTTCTAGACAGCTAAAAAGGTGAGATTTGTATAATAAAATTTACAACACTGTCTGGTTAGCTGATATGTGCATGTCCATAGTCCTTTGTTCAACCAGTGTATACATAGCCCCTGATTTCCACGATTTCATAATTAGTTCTGTCACACATATAAATGAATCCCATCTTCACCTCCCCTTCATACAAAGGACAACTATGAAATTATACCACAAATGCAAATGTAGTTTACAGCTATCAAATTAAAACACTGGGATTGAGATCAAGTTCCCTATAGTATGGAGAGGTGGGCACAATTAGTATAAAACTTTAGGGTTCAACTTCCAAGCATGCATAGGTCATAGGAATTACTTTTCTTTTGAGATTGTGTAGGTTAATACTCCCCAAATACATCTCATGGAAGTGTTGGCGATGATGGCTCCTTGCAGACATAGAACAAATGCAAAGACAAGGTCACAGCTATTTTGTTTGTCACCTGTTCATATACTTCAGGATTCCTAGGTAATAACTGACACTGACACACAGTTAAAATAAAAAGTTCAATTAAGGCAATTATAAAAAATAGAGCATTTTGGACTGTCCTAATAAAACTACTTCATCTCCATTTACTTTTATATACCAAAGCTACTGGATAATAATGAAATATTGAATATAAAATGTAAATAACTCTAAAGAAACAAAAGACTAAATATGTCTGCTGTTTAAAATAATGTCTCTAGGGGCCAGTGTTTTGGCATAAGGGTTAAGCCGCTGCCTGTAACCAGCATCCCATATAAGTGCTGGTTCAATTCCCAGTTGCTCTACTTCCCATCCAGCTCCCTGCGAATGTGCCTGGAAAAGCAGTGGAAGAAAACTCCTATCTTTGGGCCCCTGCACCCACATAGGAGACCTGGATGAATCTGTTGTCTCTTCCCTTTGGCCTGGCCCAGATCCATACATTGAAACCATTCCAGAGTGAACCAGCAGATGGAAGAGATGTTGCTCTCTATCTCTCCCTCCCTGTTTCTGTAATTTTGCCTTTCAAATAAATAAAATAAATCTTTAAGACAGTTAAAAATAAAATAGGAACATGACCTCTAATCTATGTCTGCAAGGAGCGATTATCTCTAACACTTCGATAAATGCATTTGGGGAGGATCAGCTTCTACAATCTCATAAGAAAACTAATTTCTGACTTGGGTACATTTGGGAAGTTTAACCCAAAACTGTTAATATCCATTGTGTCCCTTTTCTCTGTTCTCTATAGAAAACTTAAATTTATTTCCCGTGGTCTAACTTCTTGGTTGTAAATGCCCTTTGTGTTGAATTATCTGAGTAGGACCTTTCAGTAAGTTTGATAGCAATCATTTATTTGTTATTAACTATGTTCATGTACTTTGTTTCATGTACCTTAAAAGTATTTTTAATGTAACATGCATTTCTCACAGCAACACATTTCATGTAAGCAAAAGGAAAGTGAGGTATAGAAAAGTTTTCTAACTTGCCCATGGTCCACATAGTGAACAATGGACAGAACTGGATGTCCACCTTGGGTGATCAGGCTTGCATCCATGCGCATTAGCTCCAAGCAGTAGTGCTTCCTGTGCACGCTGTGTGCATTAGTTTCCTTGAATTTGCCAGTTAATTCTCTCTTTCCTCCTTTATTCATTATCATCCTAGACAATAGCCATAATTCAGGAAAGAACTCTGTCAAGTGGAAATGCCTAGTCATACTGTACTGGCAAAAAAAAAAAAAAAAATTGACTGTGGTCAAAGTTTCAGCTAAAAAGTTAGGATTTCTTTACCTGAAGTCATTGCCATTTTTATTTTTGAAAGTTCCAAGACATTTTTATTTGCTTGTTTTTCTTTAAAAAGTGATTTATTGATTGTTTATTTGAAAGGTAGTATTACAGAGAGAGAGAGAGAGAGAGTGAGAGAGAGATCCTCTATCTGCTGCTTTACTCCTCAAATGGCTGCAAGCCCAAGGCTAAAATCCATCCAGGTCTCCTATGTGGGTGGTGAGAGCCCAAACACTTGAACCATCTTCCACTGCTTTCCTAGGTACATTAGTACATTAGCAGGGAGCTATATCAGATGTGGAGCAGCAGGGAATTGAATTGGTGCTCATATGGGATGTCAGCATCACAGGCAGTGGTTTAACTCGTGGTGCCACAGTGCTGACCCCTTTCCTGCTTGCATGTAATGTAAAGATTGATTCCTATGATATTGTGTCTCCTGAACAAGTCACTGGGGTATAAGAACTAGAAAACTTGTCTCTAAAATATAAATTTTCTTTGAAACATTGATGGGAGTTAAATAAAATATGGTAATCTTATTATAGCACTAAATTAAAAAAATGATCAGAACGGTTTCAATCTCAAGTAATGACTACTTATAGATAACTCATCTGATATTGCTTCAATTTCTGCTACTGTAAAACTATGTAACATGTGTGTTGATTTCTTGAAGTTGTATTTCAACTGTGAGCTGTATTTCTAAATTGTTTTTTTTTTTAAAGCTTGGTCTAAATAATTTCATCAAAGGATTTTCCAAGCACCATACTATTTTGCCATTAGTATTTTCTTGATATTCTTTGTAGACATAATGATTTCAAAAATAGCTGTGACATAATCCTTAACTGTTTTGAGTTTGAAAAAAAAATGAATCTTCAACAATAATAGTTCTCTCCTCTCTTACGTAAGGGGACATAATTAGTACTTCCAAGGCAACTGCTAAGCTGAATCTGGAAATGAAAGAAAATGATTCATTTTATAATATTCAGAAGGAAAAATGACTCTGAGAGATAGAGAGAGAGAGAGAGAGAGAGAGAGAGAGAGAGAAATATGTATCACTGAAGTCACCCTAAAAGGCCGGTCATCTTTGAATTCCAAAATGTTTATTCATGCCCCCTTTCCATCATTCCTTTCTGTCCTTTTTTCCCTTTACTACTCTACCTATTTATCTCCTACACCTTCTGTCTTCTCTTCTCTCCAAAGGAAGGACAAATGGTTTAGATCCTGCAGTTTACCAGCTGTACCACACTCTGCATATTTTTTTTCTAAATATACTATTCTTTCTAAAGAAATTTAGATCACTTCCTTCTCTCAATTCTTTATTTTTATAAAGATTGTTTTAAGACAGAGCATTAGTGATCATGAGGGGAGAGAGAGAAAAAGAGAGAGAGAGAGTGAGTTCCTCCATCTGCTGGTTCACTTCCCAAATGGCTGCAAAACCCAGAGTTGGGCCAGTCCAAAGCCAGGAGTCAGGAACTTCAGGGCTGCAGTGACTTAAGAACTTAAGCCATCATCCATTGTCTTCCCAGGTACATTAGCAGGAAGTTAGTTCAAAAGTAGAGTAGTCAGGACCGGAACTGGCACTCCAATACCGGTTGCTGCCATCCCCAGCAGTGGTTTAACCTGCTGAGCCACAACAGCAGCCCCTCTTCTCTTATTTCTTATGGGAAAAAAAAAATCACTCAAATATTATTCAATCAGAGTTGCATAAGTGCACTGACCTAAAATGAAGCTCCACTACTTTCCTTAGTCTTTCCTGGCTAAATAACTCACAGTTCAAGAAGTCTCTCAGTATCTGCCCTGCAGGGAAAACACAATTGCTTTTTAGTTTTTGCAATTTTATTTTTGAATCTCAGTAATAACCCTTGTAGTTTTTCAAGTAAAATAGTTGTAATGTTGGACACCACTTGAATCATAAATATAAATATTGAAAACTGTTTTCCTAAGAACTTCTTTCTCAGAAATGGAACTTATCTATTTTAAATGTTGTCTTATTCCAACTCTCATTTGATGCATCTGAATCTTGCAGAAAAGCAACCATATGAACACTCTGATAGCACTCCTCTAGGCATGGGAAACTTAATACTGACCCAAAGCTATCCATTAGGGACTAACCATTATCAGAAATTTTTCTTTAAAAGTATTTTGACATATATTTCGCTAATATTTCTCCCTTTATTTATGGCTCTGTCCCTGAGACATAAGAAGTAAGAACTAATTCCTCTTTATGTGTTTGTAAAAGAGTAGGGCCTTGCCACTTCTCTACTTTTCATGAGATGAAAATGTTTTGTATGTGTTATCTCACTCTTACAGTAAATTTTACCACACATTCATTTATTATCTGTAAATTGGTTATACTTCAGACAAAATTTCTTTAGGTCTCTTGCAATCTTATTCATACTTCTAAGTACTCAGGCAATTTTGTAGCATCTGATCCTTGCATTTATTCTACTGTAAGGAAAAATAATCCTATTACCTTTGCAATAAGCTTGTGAATGTTCCAAATGAGATGGCTATAATGTAGACCACTCACATGCTTCATGTGTCACCCAAATACATGGTATATATTCTCTTTCATACAATAATTTTTTAAAACTTTC